AAGGAGTGAATTTTTTTTTGAAGTAGATCACCCACGACCAGGATCGTTAAACGTTAACCGTAAATTCTGGGATGTTTAGCTTATTCTGCAACAAGTAATGGACTTGGACGTAGATTTGCATGAAATATTTTGTCGAAAGAACAGGGCCATTGAAATGAAGTCTGTCTAGGGACTGATTTCTTTTACCTTTTAGAATGAATCAACTTTCTGTATATTTTCGTCGACAGTAAGCTCAGAGATCTATTGCGAATCCCAAACATATGAAAAAAGACGTAAGTTTGCGTCAAATATAGTGTAAAACCAGCACGAGTGTTTCCTGGTAAGCCAAGTTCCTAGCTCGCTCATAGCGCAGCATAACTTTTAATATGAAATTCTGTTAGCCTTGAAATTTTCAGCTACAACGAAACGAGGGAATTGTGCATTTTTCCGTCCTTGACAGACCATCATAGGAAGATTTCGTGCTCGACTGCAAATGTCATGACCCAAAGATACGTTGCACACACCATCGCGTAGCCCAGTTATTACTTTGTATGACGGAGGTGAAACAGGAAAAATCAGACGTTTCTAAAAAAAATTTGAAAAAAAATCACGTATGAATTTTTCTTTTACCAAGAATTACACTGTTGTTTAATTTAGATGTGAGAGAAAGGTCGCATTGATCGAATCTTTCACTTTTTGCCTCAGCAGCCCAGACGAGGATCGAACCTGTGATCACTCGCGCGGCAGACAAGCATCAGCACCACTACACCACCTACCTTACTTTTAAAGAATCGGCCGAAACAGTTTTCAAAGCACGTTCCGTCGTGTCTAAAAGCTTTCACAGGTGAAGAACTCACCTCCGCCTTGTAGATCGTTGATTTTTCGCGGGAACTCAAATATTAAAGGACCGCGTGAGGATAGCTGCCACACTGTCGTCGGTGCCGAGGTGAATTGTTTGTTATCCCGCTCACTGAGAACTTGTATTTGTATGCACTATACGTGTTAAAGGACTGATTTCAGCAAATTCACCATTCACAGTATAACATTATGTGACAACTGTAACACGTACGCAGCGGATACAAATCTATTCCAGCATTCTTATGGAATGGATAGGAGTGTTACCCGGATAATCGGATGCTTAGGTGGTCAGCTTTTCGGGAGGAGATTGGTTATGTCCGAGTACGGAAACGTTTTGACTGTTAAAAGCACATAATTGGTTGTACGAATGAATATTCGAAAATTATTCGATTCCATCATTAGTGTCCTCAGAACCCCAAAAACAACTTGTAGGCAAGCATTTGGCGAGCAAGTTTCTGATCGCAGCTCAAACTTCCTTTTCCAAAAGCTGGTCGACAACTTGTTTTTTTCTTTTCCTTGTCGACAAGTTGTCGGGAAAAGTTTGTCGACAACTTTGTTTTGGGTGGTATGATGACGTCAAGCT